CGTGAGAATAAGGCTTTCAAGTCATTAAGTTGTATGCATGCATTTATTAATGTAGGATCTTATATTAAAGAAATGATTTGAATAGAGATCGCGATACTTCAACGGTTCATCACCTTTACAAAATCAATATAGAAATAATTAGAGTGACACAATAGCATTTTGATTGGTATAGCTTTTTGATGAGTAGCAGCATAATGCAGATTAGCGGTAAGCAGTTGGAGCAGTATGCTCTGATTAATATACATATTTAGCTGATTGTCAGAGCTGTGAATGATTAGATATAAAATTAAAAAATATTTTATTTTACTTATTTATATGTGTTCTAATACATTATATATATATTAGTCATAAGTTATAGCATCAAATTTTTAATTTTTTAATTAAATGATTATTTTATTATAATACTATTTAACAAATAATATGACAGATAAACTAAGAGAAATTTAAAAAAATGCCATTTTTCAAGTGTCACTTTACAAAAATACCACATTTTTAAAATATTTACAAAATACCACTTTTTCAAAAAAAAAATTTTTTATATTATTTATGTTTGGGTTAATTATGTTCTATTAGGGTTTAGTTTTGAGTGTTTAAGGGGTTTTAGGTGTTAAAACATTTTTTAAGATTTAGAATTTTAAGATATAGGCTCTATAAATCTATAATTAGTGGCATTTTTGTAAATGGACACCCCTAAGTGACATTCTTGCAAATGTGNACACAAAAAGTGGTATTTTTGTAATTGCCCCATAAACTAATGGTATATATTAAGCTTTTATTTTAATATAAATATAAATATATTTATGAATAATAAATTTTAATATTTAAGTTATATCTTTATTAAAATTTATTTAAAAAATAATAGAACATATAAAAAATGATAAATATTAATGTGTATATATATATGTTTCATAATTATAGAAATTATGTATATTTACTTTTATTGAAATGATTGTCTATATTATATTTATAAATTATAACATAAATTTTTTTATAATATTTTCGAATTTAAATTATATTTAATTGAATTAGTATTATATTAAAATATTCTCTTAATTTCAGCAAAAAAATATTATCTTAATATAATAGAATAAATAAAATAATGATAAATATGAATTTAAATAATGAAAAGTTAATATAATTTTTTTTTGTTGTATTATATAATAAAATGGTTAGTTATATAATTTTATTTTTAATTTTTGTAAAAATATTTAGAGATCATTGCTCTGAAAAAACTCTATTTGAAAGCATTTGCAGTTACAAATACCCTACTTAATGTTCTGTCAACCAATCAAATTTTAATGATAAAAGGCATAATGTTTTTTAAAAGGCATAATCTATACTATGCCTTTCTCTTGTTTTATTTATATTAATTAAACACCTATAAAATATATGTATTATTAACTAATAAGAGAATCTACTGGTTGGGTAGGTACATGCATTCATCTTAATTAAATTTTGGTGGATCAAATCTTTATGTACACGTATAGATTTTTGAGAAGCAAATGTATTGAAATTGAATTGATAACATATTTTGGTCAAAATTCACTTTTGATGACATTGACTTACATGAAATTGTTTAAAAATACCACTTTCGAAATATAATTTTGCAAAAATGCAACTTTGAGTTGTTCTTTTCCAAAATTATCAATTTGAGTTATCCATTTTCAAAAAATACCATAATTTCAGA